ATTTGTGTTGTGTTTAGCCTTTTGTGTGGTTTTTGTTTTTATTACACCTTTTTTATGCATAAAAAGCGCTTTTTTCTTACGTACGGTAACTCATTAACAAACTCTGTGTTCATTTACTAACAGACAAATCTCTAACTAACTCTGACTACTACTCACTGACTGACTGATCATTGAATACAAGCATTGAATCTCATTCTTCCCGACGGCACCCGACGGACAGGTGGACGGAGACTCGTTGCGAGGCATCTGTTTCGTAGGTGTGCTAAAGCCAGTGATGCGGATCTGCTTCGTGTTGGTGCCGATGACCATATCGGTGACCATCGGCTGCTATTATATGTTCAAATCGATGCTAACACTGATTAAAGTGAAACTCATAAACCGAACCCGAAGTAACAGCAATCGGTCCAAAAGCAAAAAGATTGAGCACATGATCATCCGAATAGGTCTGTTGTCCACTCAGAATGCGATTCCCGTGTCTTATTCCCGAATCCATTGTCTATTTGACAGGTCTTTACGTATTGTCTTCTGTGATCGGTTTGATTGTCACATACGTGTCCCATATCTATGAATTCACGCACTCATCCCAATGGAGGACATCATTGAACGATTACATTATGTACGCATACCATACCTGCGCTCCCACTATAGTGTACACATGGGTTGTTCACTATAGCGAGAGATAATTTTGTTAATTAAAACCACTGTTTGGTTGTAATTAACGAATTTTTTGTCTATTATCAGATGTACGCTAAACATGACCGCAGCTCTGGGACAGCCGATGGGTTACCAATCAACAGAAGGGGTCGGCGGCACCACATTAGCCGAGACGGACAGCGCAGTGGCCAGCGTTGGTGTCGGGCGACGGTGTCCAGTCGTGCAAACTGATGGATCGGCCGAACCTAACGTACGTCTACTTGCAGTTGACTGTGATCTTCGGGGCCGCCGTCTGCACGAGCTCTTGGGTGTGGACGGGAAACTCGTTGCGCGGTTGGCGTCGATTCATGAAACGGCATTTGAAGCCCGACCACACGTATCCCATACGGATTAAGCCGCACGAGACTATCGCCAAAACGTACGGCCGCCGCAACCAACTATCGCAGGGCTGTTACTCGCCGTCGTTCCAGTCGATGCACTCGGACCCGGTGGCCATGAACCTCAACTCGGCGGTCAGCCAGGACTTGTCGGCCACGTTCGCCGGCGCACTGCCCAACTTGATGTACCGGCGCGGCGCCGTTGCGGGCGATCGTAGCACCGATGCGGCCACTATTGCCGGTCAGAATCACTATTTGCCTAACTTTGTGGGCACCCGGCACTCGTCCAACAGCGATGTCAGTCAACAGCAATCGTACGACTCGTACCGCCGATCGCTGGACAGCCAGTACTCGATAGAAATGGTGGCAATGGATCGCCACAAACACCGCAAGACCCGTAAGGAGCGCGAAAAGTTGCTCAAACCAAAGGGCAATCCACACCATCATCGACGCCGCGGCAGCGATACCTCCGGAAGTGTTATATCGACCGCACTGGCCGTTAGGGCGTTCCAGAAGGCGGCCAAATCCGAATGCAAGAGCACCAGTACCAGGGATTTGATGCAATTACCACTTTCACCGCTGCCGCACACACTGTTGCCGCAGTTGACGCCGCAGCTCATCGCCAATCCCTTCATGACTCCGCCCATCTGTTCGCCGGCGGGCTTCGCAATGCCAGTGCCCTCTGCGCAGTCATCGCACTCGACCCTATCATTCATGCCGCCAACGATACCGCCCTTTATTCGGCCTAAAGTCAAGCCGAACCCTAACGCCAGCACCAGTTTTACGTTCACTCACGGCATGTCCGACCAGTCCTCTCATCTAATCAATCCGTTGCTGGAAAAGCGACGGCCGGACAGTTGCCTACCGCCCGGCGGTCACCCCCTTCCGAGCAACAGCTCGCTAACAGTGCAACAGTCGCTCAACACCACACCCAACGGCTCCGTACAGCCGGTGGGCAACAATTTGGGGCTACAGTACGCCCCCAGCGCTAACTACGGCATGCCTTTCATGGCCAACAACGGTATGCCGTTTATGGCGCCGAACCCCCAGTCCCTCAACTATTACACGCAACCCATGAACGCCGCCTTCGGTTACGGCAACCTTCTGGTCAACAGCCAGACCGGGCAGTCGTTTCCCAACTACACCCCCTTTGGACCGTCACCTCTGCCTCAACCCGGACTCCCATTCCCCGCCTATCCGGCGTTCCCTCCGTACCCGTCGGCCGCCCAACCATTACCGCCACAACAGCCGCAACAGTGCGCCAACATTCAAGACGTACAGGAGCTGATGAGACAACGGGAAGCGTTCCTCAGTATCTGTCTGCCGCACCGGCGGTCAGACACGGCCAGCGAACCGGACGCCAACTACTTAAACATAGTGCTGTCCGACTCGGAGGGCATCTACTCACCCGATCCGGGCTCACGAAACGAGGGCCTAATCACCGCTCAACAGTTGGTCGACGAACACATCCAACGCGTAGAGGCGGCCGCCGCGGCCAACACGTCGTCCGCCTTAGCGCCTGTCGCCGGCAATAGCGGCCACAACGAGACGATTGTGGGCGCACTCGGAGGCCAGGGTCTGGACATGGAGTCCAATGGTCTGATGGAACCCAAGGCCAGCAAAAGCGAGTCGAAGCGGAGGAATAAGAAAAAGGCGGCCAAAAAGCATAAGAATAGCAACGGAACGGCCGGTGCGACGGCGGCCGTCCATAACAGCGCTAATAATAGCAATAATAATAATAATGCAAATGATGTTAAAGACAATGAATGCGACGAACAGAACCCCCTTATGGGCGGCGCCGACACCGCCGGAGCCGACGACGAACCGAATCATTAGTTAATTGTTTTGTTTTTCTCACTCAAAGTCTGTGATAATAATTAGTATTAATATTTTGTTCAAGATTTTCATCAGATTTTGTAAATAGTTTTTTGATTTGATTTTTTACATTTCAATCTCTCATACATTTTTGGACACAAACTCTTTGCGCAAAAGTGTTTTTGAAACTCATTTTTAATGAATTATTTAAATTTAATTAATTGTTTATTTTTAATATAATCATGACTTAATGTATTGAATTAAAATTATTGTCTCTAAGCGACGATTTGAGCAATAAATTGAATTGTTTTCCAATAATAATATTTTTAATTAAAACATTTATTTAAATTATAACTAAACCTAAAAGTGTTTGTCATCTAAATCATAGAGTTTTGACTGATATTTTCAATGAGAAATATAAGATTACAATTAAAATAATGATATAATTAATAATCAATTTAAACAATTCGTTCGCTAAATGTAATTAACAACACAACTAATGGCCAAAAAACTAGACAAAACTCACGCCGAGTCCGAACTGTAGGCCGGCGGACGTCCGGTCGCCGGGCTGTTGACCGAATGGCAGGCAGTAATTGAGTTCAAAGCGGGCCATATGTCCGATGGAGAGTACGATACCGGCGCCCACACTATACCTCACGCCCGACAACAGTATATTGAAATTCTTGTAGTGATCGTCGGCGAAGGCAAAGTCGCCGATATTGGCCGCGTTGGCGAACAGGTGGGCGCGGAAATAGTCACCGAAACCGCCGGCGCCCGGCCTGAACGGCAACGGCGTGTACACGTGTAGACCGCCGTTCCAGTAAGTGGTCGCTCCCAACGCGTTGCCGTCGCTATGCGGGCCCACGCCGTACAGATTGAACCCGCGGAGAGTGAGTGGGCCGCCCACGAAGAACCGGTCGTTGATGCAGGTGACCGAATCGATTTTTTGCAACGGTTTCATTATGCCCGCCCGGAGGGACGCCTGCACCACAATGTCGGCCAGTAGTGGCAGCGGTCGGTTCAACTGGAGCTCCACTTCGTGTTTATGAAACCCGACATTACCGGCCAGAATGCCGGCGCACTCCTGTTGCAGTCGAAACAACGCCCCTTTGGTCGGTATCACAGCGTTGTCCCTCTGATCCCACGTGAGTATGTGTTTCAGCGACGACTTGAGTGAATGGCCGCACTCTTCGCGCACAGCGAACGCCGTGGAAGCGGTCAGAGCCGATATGTCCCGCCAGATGGCCTCCCAGCGCAACGAGTGGGCGATCGACGGCCGCGACTTAAAGCTCAGGTCCAGATGTAGGCCGCGATCGATCTCCCGATAGCCGGACCACTGGGCGTCAAACGCCTGCTGGAAGACTGTTGTGGTGAGTCTGGGCTGCGGCCAAAACCACGGCATCAACGGCTTGACGAACGACGTCTGGAAACCAGTGGTGTGTTTCGTCCCGTATTCGTACTCCGTTTGAAACAACTCGCCTAAAGTGAACACACAATGGGAACAGCTATTAGTGATAGTGATGGACACAACACATCACACGATGCCAATGGACACACAGACCTCTTCCCAACGCGTTCGGACACTTCAGCTGAAGCACAACCGACCCGTCGTTGTTGTTGCCGATGGATGTGTTGACACCGCCGACCACACGCCTCGTCTCCACCACACTATACGTCACTTCCAGGCCATCGGAGGTCGCATTCTGGCCACGGCTGGTGTCGATGAACACGTTGATCGTCTTGAAGGCGCCCAACTCTTCCAGCCGTCGTCTCACTGTATGCGCCCGAAGTACCACATCCTCGAAGTTGTGGGCCTCGAAGAGTGGCCGCACCAACGGATCCAGTATATCGTTCTTAGTGCGCGCCACGCCATCAATGTTGATCACGTCCACCCGTGTCTTAAAGGCGTCCAATTGGACGGCAAACTCGGCGGTACCGGCGGCTCCGGGTTTGCCCAAACCCGGTGTCTTGTTGTCGGCCGGGGTTAGGACACCGGCTGTTGTGTCCGGTGGCGGAGCGCTGCCCGTCATTGTCGGTCACTCCACGTGTGGATCAGCTGTTGATCAGCGGATGGTTAATGTGTTGATGAGTTGTTTTAATCGTTAAACTAAATCACTTTCAATGAAAACATTTGTAATGTTTTTTGTGTTGTTTTGCATTCATTTCTCACGCAATGCGAGCCATAAGTAACGGCCGCTAATAAAAAATGTCTACAAAATTACAGTTCATTTAGTTTTTTCATAAATATAAGTTTATAAAAGTAATTAAATTAAATTTATTAATAAATTAATTGTAAATATAAATAATAAGTTTTGTTTTTTATATAAATGTCTATTAAATAAGTGACGAACGATTAAAAATGAAACGTTGGCTTTGATTGGTTGAATGGTTTTGCTTGACATGTTTGGCCAAATTGGCGCTATTACTGCAGCTGTACTGACAGCCCGGCCAATGGCAGGCGTACGGCCGCAGATTGCAGTGAACATTCTTGTGGTCTTTAAGATTGGCCGCCACGCGGAACCGTTTGCCGCATTCGGGCCAATCACAGGCGAACGGCTTCTCTCCCGTATGGATAGTCTTGTGATGATTAAGTTGGGTTCGGGTGCCCTTATAGTCACAACCGGGCCATTCGCACGCGTGGATCGGTTTGGGTTTCTGCACGAATGGCCGCTTCTGGTGAACAGTCGCCACGTGTTTCTTCAGATACCACTCCGAGCGGAACAGTTCCGCGCATTGACTGCACGGCAGTGTCGGCACATCGCAGTGAGTGGCCATATGTGTGCGGAGGTGTGTGTTCTGGAGATAACTGCGGTCGCAGCCCGGGTGCGGACACTGGAGCCGCTCCGTAGGATTGGGGCTGTGCTCGGCGTTCACGTGCTGTTTGAGACCGGTTTGAGTGCGAAAAGTCTTCGCACATTCCGTGTCAAAGCACCGATAGACGGGCCGATCGGCCAAATGAATGACAGAGTGTTGCTGGAGATACTTGTGGAGCGACGCCGTGAATGAACAGCCGGGATGTTCGCACCGGTAGGACTTGTCCGGGCTGTGTGTCGCTCGGTGTGTGTCCAAGTGTTTGGGCGTTTTGAACGACTTGTCGCAACCGTCGTGTCCGCACGGATACCGCACCGATGTGTGGACGACACGCAAGTGATGGCTAAACTTAGTGTTAGTGTCGTATGATTTGCCGCCGCAGTCCGCGTGCGGACACACGTATGACTGAGTGATGGCATCGAAACACTGCTGTTTCTGCAGCCGGTGTTGGCGTACGGCTTCGGCCGCCGGATTGCCGTGGATTTTGGTCACGTGTCGGTTGAGATGAGATAAGGAGCGAAACCCCGCCTCGCAGTCCTCGTATTGGCACCGAAACGGCCGATCAGTGCCGCTATTGTTGGCCTTTTTGGTCAACCGATTGATCACCTTTTGAAGACTTTTTGACTCGACTTTCGTTTTGTTTGCTTTAAATTTGATTTTCATCGCCGCTATCGTTGTCTTCGGCTTCTTCTCCATCGAGTTCTTGTGCTTATTGTCGACATATGTCTCGTCCGAGTCTTCATTGTCTTCTTCGGGTGTCTTTCGTATCGCCTTTTTCTGGCCGTTTGATCGACTCGTTTGCTGACCATCTGTCACATCAATAACAGACATCGGGTTCTCATTGTTTACTGTCTTCTTTTGATGAACAGCTCTGATTGTCCTCAACTGATCCGTGAAAGCAGTGGTGAGTTGTTTGTCTTCTTCGGTGACAATTGTATCGCATTTGCAATAAATGGCAAACAAGTGGTCTTTGAATGCATTCAAAGCATTGATATAATTGTTTGCAAACAATAACTCATTGAATAGTCTATTGTTTTCATGCCTTA